AACCCATGCCTAGGTAGCTTTTTGCACCACTGTGGCCTCCAGACAGCCATTGAGTGGTACAATCCACATATTACCATGGCTCCACATTACCACGACTCCAAGGAAGGCTAGAATTCCTACTCAGGAAATGAATGGCAAGGGTTTTCTGCCCCATACACTCTTCTCATAAAATTACAACACAAGAATAGTGACAATTCAAATGTCAGGCAGACACAGGGAGGCATATGGGTTATGGGGAGGTATGTGGCTAGTGAAAGACTAGCTGCTAACATGAAAGACACAGGCTGTCGTTTGTGGTGGGACAGGAGCCTGACATAGACAGGTAGGCCAGGTAGAGGGGGGACAAGTATGGGGTGGGGCCATGAACATTTCTTCCCATGTTTTTGGCCACAAAGATGAAGCAATAATAAGAATGAAAGTTGACCGCCTCTAACATTTGCAGTGGTGCCACTATAAATACCAAGGACTTAGGGGAAAAAAACGTGTGTGCAACATCAACTATGAAAGAGAACCTTCTGGTACATATGAAAACAAGAATGTTACCCAATGACTAGCTTCTCCAGAAAGTGAAGTCACTTAATCGTTCTCAAAGTTCGGATGAGATTCATCCCAAAGTACAGAGACAAGGTGATTTATACCCGTAATAAAAAAGTACTTTGAAAAATGTCTTTGTTTTTCAAAAATACAGATACAACTAGCAAAAGTATCTGTGACAGCTGCGAAAACATTCAATTGCCAAGGAAGGTATTTTCTCTCTTCACCACAGCTGTTCAGTGCAGGGCAAGGTTTATTTTCCTCTTCCACTGAGCTTCCAAATCAAAATTTCTAGGCTCTCAAGAGCAAACTATTGCCCTTGAATTTTCTTGGATAGGCTGCCACCACGCGGTGACTGCTAAAAACGCACACAGGTTCAGGTTTCATTGCAAGGCTGCCTTCCTGAGCTGTCTTAACCCAAGCATTACATAAATTAGATCCACCTGCCATGCAAAGAGTCCAAATCTGCTGAGACACCTGGCTTCCCTGGCAGGATTACAATTTACTCCTCATTTCCATTCTCACTCTGCAACATGAGGAACATGTATTTTTAGATCACGTTCTGTAGTAACTGATTGTACTTAATGCATTCATTTAAAACTTCACTTTGCTTGAAATCTGTGAGCTGTACTGTCATTTTTAAAAATGAAAAACAATCATTTCAGACATAAAAATGGAAAACAATATCCTAACATACCTAGACAACACCTATTGCCCCGTTTAAGAAAAAAGGTGTGAAGGTGTCTAGGTTTTCTTTCCATCTATATCCACATCCTTGCTTCAATAAATGCTTTCCGGATTTGGTTTGCAGTTTGCATTATTTCTTTATATTTTTACTTCATTTGCATGGAATCCTAATATACATATATTAGGATTAAATAATTAATACATAATAATATATAATATATAATCCTAATATATATTAAACGGTGATCTAAATGTCCTGACCTAAATATATATATTGATTCTATATATATATAAGGATTATATATAATACATATTATATGCATGTATGTATTAGATTACATATATATATGCTGTGTTGCTTTCAGACATATATAAATGGTGTTATATGAAATACATCCTTCTGCAGATTGAGTCTTTGTTCACTGAACAGTGTTTTAAAAATTCTTCCAGCCTGGGCACGGTGGTTCATGCCTGTAATCTCAGCACTTTGGGAGGTTGAGGTGGGCGGATCACCTGGGGTCAGGAGTTCCAGACCAGCCTGGCCAACATGGGGAAACCCCGTCTCTACTAAAAATACAAAAATTAGCTGCGCATGGTGGCGCACACCTGTAGTCCCAGCTACTCAGGAGGCTGAGGCAGAAGAATCACTTGAACCCAAGAGACAGAGGTTGCAGTGAGCCGAGATCGTGCCACTGCACTCCAGCCTGGGGGATAGAGTGAGGCTTTATCTCAAACAAACAAACAAACAAAAAACAAAATAAAAAAACATGTTGCTATCTACAGCTCTAGTTTATTAATTTTCACTGCTTGTATATCATTCTGTTTTAGGAACATATGTCTATGCATACTCTACATGCAACTATACTGATTTATCCATTCACGCTGATGGGCATTTAGGTCACTGTTTAAAGACTTGTTGCGGTGTACTTGGTTTTGCAAGTTGCCTGCTTGGCCCTCTTCCAAGTTGTACTTTCCTTCTTTCCCTTCCTTACTGTTCTAGAGCTTTTTGCTAGACTTTCCGTCCTGCTCTGAAAATTGCCTCAGTCTCTCCTTCTATCTTATGGCCCTCAGTCCAATTCTTTCTTCTGAGGAGGCAAGAGCTGAAGTTGCTGCAGACCTGTACGGGTACACCAGCACGAACTCGGGATAACTTGAATAGCTGCCACCGGTAACATATTTGGTGCACGTGACTCTGATACACTCCCTAGTGGTCAGAAGACGCTCAGGGAGGGATACCGTCCTCTCAATATTCAAGAGTCACCGTTCTACAGGGGACCTGTGGCCTGCCCATCAGTAAAGGTGAAATCCTGCCCCCGCCTCCCTTGCACCTGGCTGGATACTGCTTTCACCAACTCAGGGAGCCAACTCAGCCCTGACAGCAGAAAGGGGCCAAGACCCATAGAATCACCACCGCCCCTCTGTCTTAAACAAACAAACAAAACTTTTTGCACTATAAACATGCTGCTCTGACCATTTGTAAACACACCTTTGTATATATATGGGCAAGTTTTGTCTATGATGTTTACATATATACTTTTATTATTATTATTATTATATTTTGAGATGGAGTTTCGCTCTTGTTGCCCAGGCTGGAGTGCAATGGCGTGATCTCGGCTCACTGCAACCTCTGCCTCCCAGATTCAAGCGATTCTCCTGCCTCAGCCTCCCGAATAGCTGGGATTACAAGCATGCACCACCACATCTGGCTAATTTTGTATATTTAGTAGAGATGGGGTTTCTCCATGTTTGTCAGGCTGGTCTTGAATCCCTGACCTCAGGTGGTCTGCACACCTCAGCCTCCCAAAGTGCTGGAATTACAGGGGTGAGCTACCGTGCCCAGCCGCATGATATATATTTAGAGTGAAATTCCTGGGTCAAAGAGTAGCTGAAACTCCATTAAACTGCTTTCCAAAATGCCTATTTCAAATTTAAACTCCTGCCAGCAATATATGAATTCTCAGGGCTCCAGACATTTGTCAATATGTCTAACCGGCACTTTTTACCTACTGCCAATATGACTGGTGAGCAAAAACAGTAGGAAACCAGACAGCTTTTCACGTGTCTTTTAAACCTCAGATTCCTCATCTGTTAGTGGCCTGTCGTGTGTCCGTTTTTCTAACAGATTGTCTTTGTCTCACTGATTTGTAGGAATCTTTTATAAAATACTAATTGCTGGCTAAATGTTTGTTGTAAATATCTTCTACACTATAGCTGTCTTTTCACTTTTTTAAGAACTTCTTTTCAGAAAGAAAAACTTCGGGGTTTTTAAAAATTTGGATGTAGTCAGATTTATATATCTTTTCTTTAGCAATCTGTGCTTTTGGGGTCTCTTAAGCTATCCTTCCAATGCCAACATCTTAAATGCATACGCCTGTATTTTTTTCTATAAATTTTACAGTTTTGCTTTCCACATTTAGGTATTTTAACATAGAAGTGATTTTTTTATATGTAGTATCAGGTTAGCAATCCTATGCTAGACTCATATACATAACTAGTTAAGTCAGCATGATTTTGAATAGTTAATGTTTTAGTTTTTTGTTTGTTTGGTTTTTCTTTTTTTTTTTGAGACAGAATCTCACTCTGCTACCCAGGCTGGAGTGCAGTGGCACGATCGCAGCTCACTGCAACCCCTGCCTCCTGGGTTCAAGCGATTCTCCTGCCTCAGCTTCCTGAGTAGCTGGGATTACAAGCTTGCACTGACACGCCTGGCCAATTTTTTTGTATTTTTAGTAGAGATGGTGTTTCACCATATTGGCCAGGCTGGTCTGAAACTCCTGAGCTCAAGTGATTCGACCAACTCAGCCTCCCAAAGTGCTGGGATTACAGGCATGAGCCACCACGTCCGGCCTTTAATCGTTACTCTTTTCCCCATTGATCTGCAGTACCTGCTCTCAAGCTTCCATATATGCATAAATTTCCACTTTCTTCTGTTCTGATAGTCTGTTTGTCTACCATATTATCCTAATTACTGTAAGTGCTTAATAATTCACACTATGTGGTTGGGAATGTCTCCCACCTAGTTTTTCCACAAAATTGTCTTGACTCTCTCTATCCTTTATGCTTCCATCTGTATTTCAGAATCAGATTGTCAAATTCTACAAAAAATATGTCAGGAGTTTATAATCTGCAGACAATTAATATCTTTAAGACATTGCATCTTCTCCATGAAGATGATACTTCTGCTTTTATATAGGTCTTCTTAATAATTTTCATCAAAATTATAATTACTTTCAAAAGTTCATAATGAATACTAGATTTACCAAATGACTGTTCTGTACTTACTATGGTGAGAATTTAGTTTTTAATCATAATGTGGTGAATTACAGTGATAGATTTTCTCATGTTCAATCACCTGGGAATCCTAAAAGAAACCTAACTTGTGCTGTATTTGGTGTTCTCAGATTTCGCTCATGATTATTTCATTTATATTCACAGCTGAAACTGGCCTGTTAATTTTCCTTTAGCATCTTGTCCTTGTTTGGTTTTGGCACTCATAAAGTCTGTTAGGCCATGTTCCTTCTTTTTCCATTTGCTAGAGAAAAGGATTGTATTAGAATGAGCTGTTCTTTGTTTGATAGAGCTCATTTGTAAAACCACCTGTTGCCTTTTCTTGTTTGTTTGTTTGGTGAGTAGATTGATTCAATGTCTTTAATGGATATGGGTCTATTCAATTTCCTTCCTCTAACTTCTTGAATTAAGCGCTTAGCTTAGACATTTCTAGACTTTCTTCTGTTCTAACATAAGCCTTCAAGATGATATGTTTCCAACATGAAATTTACCTTCCTTTGAAGCTGGGGTGTTTTCCACTGGGAACTCATTGTCATGGACCCTTTTCTCTGGAACAGGCATTGTAGAGCAGCTTCCAAAGACCCATGGGCCCCTACTACCAAAATCTTCTTTCCATCTAGGTTGACACCTACTAACCAAATGAAAATTCGATATTATGCTCAAAACTTCAGATCTTTCCTTTCAAAACTTTAACTTGAAAAAAAAAACCCTTTTAGGCTAGGTGCAGTGGCTCACGCCTATAATTTCAGCACTTTGGGAGGCTGTCACAGGCAGATCACTCCAGGTTAGGAGTTCAAGACCAGCCTGGCCAACATGGTAAAACCCCGTCTCCACTAAAAACACGAAAAATTAGCTGGGCATCGTGGCACATGCCTGTAATCCCAGCTTCTTGGAAGGCTGAGGCAGGAGAATCACTGGAATCCAGGAGGTGGAGGTTTCAGTGAGCCAAGAGGGCGCCACTGCACTCCAGCCTGGGCAATAGAGCAAGACTGTCTCAAAAAACCCTTTTAAAACTTGACCTTTTTCAGCACCAGCCTACAATGACAATGAACTAGGAGTGGGGTGTTATAATCAGCAAAAATTATCTATTCAAACCCTTCTGGTTCCAATTCCTATTCTTTCCGCAATATATAACTATAATTTACCAGCCTAATTTACTCTTTTCTTTGAGTACTTTCTGATGAAGTGGCTCAGAATCTTCATCTTGATCATCCATGTAATGAAAAAGCACTTTATATATGGATTATTTCATAGATTTGAGCTTAATATTACTGCCCAAAGGGCATATATATCCTGAATGCTAGCTTTTAATAATACTTTGCCATATATTTTTGAAATTCTTCTTTGATTGTTGCATGTTCAGGGGTAGGAAGGGGCATTTGCCTCGTTTCTATTCAAATTGGAGTAGAGAAAAATATTTAGTTAATTGATTTTTTTTTTTTTTCCCAGATAGGCTCTTGCTTGTTGCCCAGAATGGAATGCTGTGGTGTGATCACAGCTCATTGCAGCCTTGACCTCCCAGGCTCCAGCAATTCTCCTACCTCAGCCTCCCGGGTAGCTGGGACATGCAGCTCACTGCATGCCACCACACCTGGCTAATTAAAAAAAAATTGTTTTTTTGTAGAGATGGAGTCTCCCTATGTTTCCCAAGCTAGTCTCAAACTCCTGGGCTCAAGCAGTCCTCCCACCTTGGTTCCACAAAGCACTGGGATTACAGGTGTAAGCCACTGCACCTGCCCAGTTAGTTGAATCTTTATGTTCTCAGCTAGAAAGCCCTTAAATATATAAATACTTGGTAGTAATTTACTCATTAAATTTAACGATGAAGAAAGAGAAAATATTAATTTCTATTTCATTGACATAAAAATGCCAAGTCAAGGGGACAACAATGGAAAGTAAGTCCTGACAACTGAAAAGCAAGCTGCTCACCAATAAATCCCAACCTAGGTTCCCGTGCCCTAAACTACATCTATTGGCTTCTTCATTTTTCTCTTTTTTTTTTTTTTGTTTTTTTGAGACAGGGTCTTGCTATGTCACCCAGGCTAGAGTGCATTGGTGCAAACATAGCTCACTGTAACCTCAAACTCCTGGGCTCAAGAGATCCTCCCACCTTAGCCTCCAGCATAGCTGGGACTACAGGTGCACATCACCATACCCAGCTAATTTTTAAATTTTTTGTAGAGATAAGGTCTCACTATGTTTGTCCAGGCTGGTCTCGACCTGCCCTGAAGTGATTCTCTTACCTTGGCCTTGCCTAGCACTGAGATTATAGGCATGAGCCACTGTGCCTGGCCTCATTGAAGTCTTCAATGTAAATCTTATCTAAGCCTACACATTGACAGATTTAGTAAGCTGCAACTGGAAGCATATTTTACTGTGGTTATTTTGAACTGTTTCACGAGAGAAACTGAGCATGTTTAAAACAGGGCTAATCATTTATCTCAACTAATTTTTCTTTTAATTTATAAGATAGTCTTACTAGAAAAAGTTTCTAGGTATTCATCTGTATCTCCCAAAAGATGAGAAAAATAAAGTCAAAGTGAAATAGCACTTCTATGTTCAATTAGAATCTTCTAGAAACATCTTAAAAGGATATCAGAATAATAATTTAAAAAATTTAATTCTTCCCCAAACAAATCCTTATTTAAAAAAATGTAAATACCAATAAATAGAAAACAGCAGCATTTCTCAAGGAGCATCCTACCTGATTTTTCAAGAAGTTCAGTTACAGCTTTGGCAACAGGTGAAACAAAACATTCATGGGCATCCCCTCGCACCAGCTTCCCCAGGTTTATGTCTGTTACTCTAAATCAGAAAATAAGGGAATAGGTTAAGTCAAAGTCCAGTCAAAAAAATCACTCACATGTAATGTACATATATTAACCCCAAATAACATTCAAGTCAATGTTTGATAGAATACATAAAAATGAATTAAAGACGGCCAGGTATGGTGGCTCACGCCTGTAACACCAGCACTTTGGGAGGCTGAGGCAGGAGAATCGCTTGAACCCAGGAGGCGGAGTTTGCAGTGAGCCGAGATCATGCCACTGCACTCCAGCCTGGGCAACAGAGCGAGACTCCATCTCAAAAAAAAAAACATAAAAAATGAATTAAAGAGAAAGCAGGCAATAAAGGTCATTCATTTTCTAAGGTAGTACCTTAGAAAACTTCACCCTGGCCCTGACCTTGGGTGTCCTGGTTCTGCCAATATACCAGGACACAGCCTAAGGCCATACAGGGCTTCACTTTACAACTCCAGGGAGCTCCTTTCAACGGACCCCAATGGACTAGCATCCCTAGAGTTACACAACAGCATGGTCCTGCAGTTCACTCAAAACCCAGAACCAATCCTATAAATCTGGAGTGACCCAGGAAGACCTGGGATTGAGGCACAGGTCTGATTTCAACTTGATCTCAATATTTATCTCCTTGAGAAGTCGGGGTGGGAGGCGGTGGGAAAAATGAGAGACCACACATCTTCTGAAGGGTTCTGTGCCTTTCCCTATTCAAATGTAGGACAAAACATTCCACAACTATCTAGCCTAAACTGAGCACATCAATCCCAGTTAGTAACAGAATGGAGACATTTAGAACCATTTTCATAGTTGTCTCCTTTTACTCTCTGTTGTTGTTGTTTGTTTGGTTGGTTGTTTCCTGGTTGGGCCTCAGCATGAATTCCTCTCCTTTTATGAAAGACTTGAAACTATGTCCTGGGACCTTCAAGTTCTGAAAGTTTTCTCATTGATTAGGACTTCTTCTCCTTTTAAAGTTAGTCTACGACAGGACTGGAGATTGTTGTTGTTTTTTTTAAAAAAATATTTAATTGTTTACTTAAAAATAGAGACGAGGGGCCGGGCGCAGTGGCTCACGCCTGTAATCCCAACACTTTGGGAGGCTGAGGCGGGTGGATCATGAGGTCAGGAGATTGAGACCATTCTGGCTAACACGGTGAAACTCCATCTCTACTAAAAACACAAAAAATTAGCCAGGTGTGGTGGCGGGCACCTGTAGTCCCAGCAACTCGGGAGGCTGAGGCCAGAGAATGCATGAACCTGGGAGGCAGAGCTTGCAGTGAGTCGAGATCGTGCCACTGCACTCCAGCCTGGGCGACAGAGCAAGGCTCTGACTCAGAAAAAAGAAAAATACAGACGAGGTCTCACTATGTTGCCCAGCTGGTCTTGACCTCCTGAGATCAAGTGATCCTCCTGCCTTGGCCTCCCAAAGTACTAGGATTATAGGTGTGAGCTACCCTGCCTGGCCAGGGCTGGAGGTGTTCGTGACACCTTTTCAGCCTGTGTTTGGGCCTACTCAAGTCACGATAAAAGGCTAGAATGGAAGATTGCTGGGTGTCTCAGGGAGGTGGCAGCCTCTCCATCCAGCCCCTGCAGGGTCTACTGGATCTGGAATCTAACTTTATAAATCTGCTTACAACCTATAACCATAAACACATTGTGTTCTTTTTGGCCACAGTACAAAATACTTGCTGTATTTCCATGGAGCAAAATGGGGTTTTTAATCCCCAGGAAGCATGCTTATCCCCCACTGGAAACGGCCGGTGTCTTTTGTTCTATGAAGCTTATGTCACTCTATGACATGAATCACAGCCCAACATTACAGCACCCAATAGTTATGATGTTCCCCTCCAAATTTCAAATAAAACCTGTGTCATTAAGAGAAGTATTTATTTTGCTTTTCTCAACTGGCCTGGGACTAAGACAGAATATGGTACTGCTGGGGAATCCGGTTTCTAAGTTTTTTTCTCTGGTCTGGTAGAATTACCAAGGAAAAATCTATTAGAAGAGTAGAGCTGGCTAAAGATTGTATAAGTCAGACCGGAACTTATTAAATGAATCTGATAGCATAAGATTATATGGTACCGAAGCACTATAAAAGGGCTAATGTATTTTCCAAAATATATAACTTTTGCATGCAGAATTTTAAAAGCCTACAGATGGCCAGGCACAGTGGCTCACGCCTGTAATCCCAACATTTTGGGAGGCTGAGGCAGGTGGATCACGAGGTCAGGAGATTGAGACCATCCCGGCCAACATGGTGAACCCCATCTCAATAAAAATACAAAAATTAGCCAGGTGTGGTGGCGCATGCCTGTAATCCCAGCTACTCAGGAGGCTGAGGCAGGAGAATCGCTTGAACCCAGGAGGCGGAGTTTGTGGTGAGCCGAGATCACGCCACTGTGCTCTAGCCTGGGCAACAGAGTGAGACTCCGTCTCAAAAAAAAAAAAAAATCCTGAAATATTTAAAAGAATTTTTTTCATCTAATTACTGAGAGTTGAAATAAATAGGAGAAATTTAGAAAAATAAAAGCAGGCACAACAGAAAAAGTGATTTAGCCATAAAGGTGGATTATTTGATTTTATTTTCTTACCCATCCACATCTTTTTCTGGTTTCAAGGCATTGAGGACTTTGTTGCTAAACAAGTTCTCAGAGATCTGAAGGGCAAGGCCATGTACTCTGGTATCTTCATTAATCTTTAAGATTTCATCTATAATCTAAAGAAAAACAAAAAACCAAAATAAAAATAGTTTTGTGAAAATGAGACACAACAAAGGAAGCTTTATATAAAAAGTGGATTCATGAAAATGCATCTGTTAAAGTTAGCTGTTGTTGTTTTGTTCCTTGTTGAAGACTTGATGTAAAGCATAATAAAAAGCCTATTTTTTTCTTTTCATCACATGTATAAAGCTCAAAAAAAAAAAATTAAAAGGGTTGGCTGAATTTTTTTAGTGACTTCTCTGCCTTTCTATGGCTCTACTCTGTGCCAGAAAAAGACAAAACAGAACAAAACCAAAGCTCAACAGCTATTAACGTTTACATAGACAAAGGATACTTCTCTGTCAACAAGCATACTTTAAGCCAACACACTGCCAGTTTTCATGAAGGATAGGAAACACAAATCTGAAGCCTTCCAACCTGGCCCAGCTAAGCTTGTGTGCTTCAAACACAATGTGTTCAACACAGCTCACTAATCATGACGTCCAAGTGGTCACAGAGGCCCTCGGGTTATCTGGACCTCAATGACACATAAGAAGCCTTTCCAAAGGCTTGTGCTAGAAAAATTCTTAGCATGCACAGCTCCTTTTATGGGAAACACTAAAATAATTCACTATTTAGGAAAAAGACCAAGCTACATTTTGGGGAAGCTAATGAATGTCTGGGTGTGTTTCTAAATAAGCAATGCTTTGTCCTCTCTGTCTATTTCATGCCAGGAGATAAGATCCTGATTCATCTCACTTAACAAAAATATTTGCTCATAAGTGAGAAGATACTTATCTTTGCCTATAGATCTCACTCAGAGGCTCTGAGGAAGGGTTGGTTTACCTTTTTTTTTTTCATTGCCTAGCAAAAATCACTACCTGTTCAGGGGCAGGGGAAACCATTTGAGGTACAAAATCAGAAAGAAAGCTTTGTTTCATTCATTTGGCATTCTTTCATTCATTCAACAAATGGTTTGAGCACCTACTCTGTATCAGTTCTAAGTAAAGGAAATACAGCTATAAACAAAACTGTCCTCATGGATCTTATACTCTAGTGGAGAAGGGAAGTTCCTCCCTTCCAAATTGTAATAATAATAATAAAATCACTGGAAAGAATAAAGGATATGCAGAAAAATAAAGGTTCAGTGGGGTAAAAGGCTAACAGAGTAATGGGTGGAGGGGTGGTCAGAGGCCACAATATCCAAGCAGAGACCAGAATGAAGTGAGGAAACTATTGTCACCTGTACCAAGCATTTGGTAGAAGCAACAAATGTCAATACAAATCTTAATTAATACATTGAGGTACTTATTCTTTTTCAACATAATACCATACAAATTCACTCTATTAGAATTTTCCCAAAGAAAAACAGGGAATAAATGATTCCTTGTCAAAAAATAAGTCAAGGTGAAGGTGCTAAGAACACACATTGTGGAAAGAGAGATTCTTCAATAAATAGCGCTGGGAAAACTGGATATACACACACAGAAGAATGAAACTAGGACCTCGTTGCTCACCTTCTACAAAAATCAACTTAAAATGAATTAAAGACTTAATATAAGGTCTCAAACAATAAAACTTCTGGAAGAAAACATAGAGGAAATGCTTCATGACATTGGTTTGGACAAGGTTTTTTTGGATAGGACCTCAACAAAATAGGCAATGAAAGCAAAAATACACAACTGGGATTAAATCAAACTGAAAACATTCATGGGAAAAGATGTGAACAGTCATTTCCCAAAGGACATACAAATGGCCTGCAGGTATATGACAAAACACTCAACACCACCAATTATCAGGGAAACGCAAATCAAAACCACAATGAGATATCAAGCTAGAATGGCTATTATCAAAAATCACAATAACAAATGCTGACGAGGATATGTGGGAAGGGGAGCCCTTATACACTGTTGGTGGGAATGCAGATTAATACAGCCATTAGAGAAAATCGTATGAAGATTCCTCACAAAATTTAAAAAAAACTACCATATGACCCAGCCATTCCCACCACTAGGTATATATGCACGGGAACTGAAACGACTATGCTGAGAAGCCGTCTGCATTCCCGTGTTTATTACAGCACTATTCACAGTAACCAAGAGATGGAACCAATCCAAGTACCCATTAATGGAGGACAAAGAAAGTGTGGTTTGTATACACAATGGAATATCATTCAACCATAAAAAGGAACGAAATCCTGTCATTTGTGGTAACATGAATGAACCTGGAGGACATAACATGAAATGAAATAAGCCAGGTGCAGAAAGGCAAATACCATAGGCTGTCACTTGCATGTGTAATCTAGGAAAGTTGATCTCATAGAAATAGAGAACAGAATGGAGGTTACTAGAGGCTGGAGAGGGATGGAGGAGGGGAAATGGGGAGAGGTTGGTCAATCAATAGGTACAAAGTTACACTTAGATAGGAGGAATAAATTCTAGTGTTCTATTACATAGTAGGGTGACTATGGCTAATGACAATGTATTGTATATTTTAAGACAGCTAGAAAAGATCTTGAAAGCTATCACCACAAGGAAATGATAAAGGTTCTAGGTGATGAATGTAACTAACCTGATTTAATCATTATACAACATACCCAAGTACTGAAACATCACATGTACCCCTCACGCATGCACAATTATTATGTGTCAATTATAAACAACAACAATGAAAATCAAGGGCTATCAATACCAGTGGCAAGGCCAGATGAGGTGGCTCATGCCTGTAATCCCAGCGCTTTGGGAGGCCAGGGAGGGCAGATCACCTGAGGTCAGCAGCTCAAGAACAGCCTGGCCAACATAGTAAAACTCCGTCTCCACAAAAATGCAAAAATTAGCCAGGCATAATGGCAGGTGCCTGTAATCCCAGCTACTTTGGGAGGCTGAACGGGGAGAATCACTTGAACATGGGAGGTGGAAGTTGCAGTGAGCGGAGATCGCGCCATTGTACTCCAGCCTGGGTGACAGACTGAGACTCCGTCTCAAAACAAACAAACAAACAACAACAACAAAACAAACCAGTGGCAAAACAACCTAAAGAAAAGCAAATTGCAGCTGGGCGCGGCGGCTCACGCCTGTAATCCCAGCACTTTGGGAGGCAGAGGCAGGCCATCACCTGAGGTCAGGAGTTCAAGACAGCCTGGTCAACATGGGGAAACCCTGTCTCTACTAAAAATACAAAAAATTAGCCAGGCATGGTGGCAGGTGCCTGTAATCCCAGCTACTTGGGAGGCTAAGGCAGGAGAATGACTTGAACCTGAGAGGTAGAGGTTGCAGCGAGCCAAGATTACACCACTGCACTCCAGCCTGACAGAGCGAGAATCCATCTCAAAAAAAAAAAAGAAAGAAAGAAAAGCAAATTCCACTGCAGACAGTGGATATCCTGCAAATGAACAACAACCTCCTTTGCATGCTGTCACTGCTGGTATCACAGGTATTTGTTACATATTTAACACTTCATACTTGTACCATGCTACAATGGCAAGTGTGGCAAACACTTATCGCCCAACATACAGTTTCCTTTCTCTCTTCTTAATAAACTCTTGATTTTCAGCTTGCTAATAAATGATCTAAGGCTTCCTGGTATAAAAACTACACTTCCCAGCCTCCCTTGCAGTTGGTCAGGCAACTAGGTAGAGGACAACTGAATGGATGTAGAACTGTGACTTTCAGGAAATGTCTTTAAAGACAGCAGGGGCCTGTCTTTGTCCTTCCTTTTTCTTGTTGGTGACAGTGAACTTTACCTGAGTCCTGTGATCCTGGAAAAGAGGGAAGGTTAACAAATCCCCTTACCCTCTGTGTACTGCAAAGAACTGCCCTTCCCCATAGGACTCAGATGCCCCCTTGTTTACATAGTACAAGGCCAGATGCAAACTCTACAAATTCCCATTCTTTGTCTCACAAATGACTAGCAGACCTGCTGGGCCTCACTGATCAATCAGAACAAAGTGCTTATTAACCAAACCACAAAGGTGGCAAAGCAGACGGACAGGAGCCCAAGCTCCTACGACTTGGTGATGTCATCAACCAGGGACTGCCTACTTCCAAACTTTATTCATGTCCCAGAAAAATACACTTCTAGGCTGGGCACAGTAGCTCACACCTGTAATCCCAATACTTTGGGAGGCCGAGGCGGGTGGATCACCTGAGGTCAGGAGTTCAAGACCAGCCTGGCCAAAATGGAAAAACCCTGTCTCTACTAAAAATACAAAAATTAGCTGGGCACGGTGGCTCACACCTGTAATCGCAACATTTTGGGAGGCCGAGGTGGGTGGATCACCCGAGGTCAGGAGTTCAAGACCAGCCTAGCCAAAATGGTGAAACCCCGTCTCTACTAAAGATACAAAAATTAGCCGGGCGTGGTGGCACGCACCTGTAATCCCAGCTACTGGGGGCTGAGGCAGGAGAATCGCTTGAACCTGGGAGGCAGAGGTTGTAGTGAGCCGAGATGGCACCATGGCACTCCAGCCTAGGCAACGAGAGTGAAACTCCATCTCAAAAAAAAAGAAAAAGAGAGCGAGAGAAATAAACTTGTATGTTATTTAAGATTCCATTATTTGAGGTTTTCTATCACATGAGGCCAGTAGGAAGAAAAGCTAACCACAGAAGGGCTGGGCCCTGGCACAGGGATTTGTGGCCCGAGGTCTAGCTTCCTTGCCTCAGCCTGACAATTTCCACTAGATGACGCTGCCACCGCAGCTGAAGAAACACAACTGAACTCAACAAGTCGCAGCTCAAGTCTTCAGTAGAAACATACAAATGACAAGGAACAAGAATATCATGAAGCATTTACCCTAGAGAAAAGAAGTGAACTCTTCCCTCTAACATTCAGCCACAAGCAAAGGTTAGATCCGTCCCAGCTACCACTAAGAGATGCCAATGGGCCTATCAAGTCTTAAGAGGAAAGAAGCAGCAAGAGTTTAGAGCTCTGCCATTCTTACCTCGGCTTCACTGCTATCTGGAGGGAGGCAAATGTGAGTGATGTTCAGACCAGTCTGAAAAAGGAACACAAGGTTATGCGTCACTATAAGAGAATGTATTGTTAAAAGTTATAATGAGTTTTTAAAAAGCAACAGTCCTCACCTCCTCAGCCAAATTCTGGTTGATTTCCTGCATCAAGTTGTCGTCACCTGCCTTAGGAGAGTAAAAACAACATAACAACATAAAAATAGCTTGAAAAGGCACAAAAGATAATCCAGAGATGAATTTTGTGATTACAGATGATCTAATTACAAAGATAATAAGGAAAGTGCAGAAAAACAATCTTGCTGCTTATAAAAAGGGACCCGTGGCCAGTATTTAACAGAGTAATTCTTCAGGCCTTCAAATTATATCACTTTTTTAAGGAAAATAATATCCCTCCTATTAGAAGACATACATAGTCACATAGCCAGCTTCCCTCTCTAAAAATGAGGATGCTGACTGGGCACAGTGGCTCATGTCTGTAATCCCAGCACTTTGGGAGGCTGAGGCTGTGGATTGCTTGAGCCCAGGAGTTGAAGACCAGCCTGGGCAACATGCTGAAACCCCATCTCTACAAAAAATACAAAAATTAGCCGGGTGTGATGGTGCATGCCTGCAGTCCTAGCTACTCAGGAGGCTGAGGTGGGAGGATTGCTTAAGCCCAGGAGGTCAAGGCTGTGGTGAGCCAAGATTATGCCACTGCACTCTAGCCCAGGCAACAGAGCAAGACCCCATCACAAAAAGAAGCCAAAAAATGGGAACACCAAAGGTAGGAGTTGAAATGGTTTGCCTTTGGATGGAAAGGCAGGGAGTCAGCAGATTCCCAGGAGGCCCGAGTCCTAATCTAATTTTCTTTCTATTGTTCTAACTTGCCTTTCTTTGTAATGAGATGTGGATACAGATCCCAGAGAATGTAAGTAACTTGAGCACAGCTCTGTCATCCTGAAATACGCAGCACGGCAGCACGATGGAACCAGAGGCTGCTATTTTGATATCCTAAGTGCGTGCCAAGCCCCGCGGTAGCAGCCCAACTGTCGGGCTGTGTTTGCTTCCAGGCTTGGCTCACCTCGTTATTTCTCGGCACCTGCCATCACACAAGTGTGCCAATCAGGATGGCAACTGGGGCCAACTGTGGCTCAGAACCAGGGACTGCAGCCAAAAGAAGTATATGGAATGCAAAGTCCTTTTGACAGGGTAATGACTTTTGTCCCATTAAGTTTACAGCAGGTTTTAAAAGATAGAGTAAAAAGATTACCAAATACTCATGTTTCATCTAGCATCTGCCTCCATTGAAACAAAGTGGGACTTTTTCCCCCAGCACCTTCAAATCACATTTGGTAAGCATTTGTGAGCACACATGGACCACGATATATCCTGTGTAATGCAATGCATGTAAGTACCTATCTCCTAGACCTCTGAAAGCTACTCATATCTCAGAAAGGAAAGTCACATAAGAAGACACTCTGAAGCAGAGCAGTACTTCACCCACGACCCCAAGGAAGTAAAAGACCAAAGAAAACAGCATTGCCAACTGAGCCCTCTCCTCTTTGGCAAGAAATGCAGGTGTTCTTTTGCATACAATCATTTTCTAAATTGAAAGGCATCCTAAAATAGTAGGACTGAACTTTGTTCTCAGCTTACCTGGATAATTGCAAGAACCGGCTTGAAGGCAGGGTTTTTTTCTTGCAATAAACTTAGAACTTCTTTTGAATTCTGAATGACTTCTCTACATTGAGAAAGAAAAACAACATTGTGATTTCTTGGTTAATGAGTAGAAAGGGCTGACACGACACAGTTTCTCAGAAAGTTCGTTCCTGCAAGTGAAAATAACTAGACCACAGAAGGACACACTCCAAGTGTACAGTATGGAGTGGGCAGGCAGCATAACAATGAAATCAAGACACTAACTCAAGGTAAAATGTGGCAATCCAGTTTTTAAACTATGCAGAGGGAAACAAACCAGATGTTTACAATAATTTTCTAGGGGTGAATTTTTCTCTTGTATTTTAAAAGTTTACTATAATAAAAACTTTGGGTTTCTACTTTAAATAATCCCTCTCCTCCACCATACTCCGCTGCCATCCTCCCAAAACCCTGAGTATGGGTCCATGGGGAAAGCAAATAAAGTGGGAAGAGGGAAGTGAAGACAGGGGATTAGCGGGGTGAAGACAGGGGGCTTGCTGTTGGACAAAAAGTGTGGAGCCAGGATAAGATCCAGGTCCTGGAATTTAAAGAAGGAATTAGGTAAGGAAGGAAATGAAGGAGAGGAAAGTTCCAGAAACACTGACGATCCACTTTGGTAACACTATTAAAGCCTCCTAGGGAGAGAGAGAGAGCTTCTCAGTCCTCTGAGAATCCACAACATAGTCTGCACCTGTACCTCCCAAAGGCCCAGCAGCAGCCACCTTCACCTCCCACCTCTGAGGAAGGTGCCAGCCTGGGGTGAGCAGGCCTAGGTAAAAGTGATAGAAGGCCTGGCATGATGGCATGCACCTGTAGTCCCAGGACTTTGAGAGGCCAAGGCGGGAGGACTGCTTGAGGCCAGGAGTTTGAGACCAGCCTGGGTAACATAACAAGATCCCATCTCTATAAAAAATTTAGCTGGGCGTAGTGGCACATGCCTGTGGTCCCAGATACTTGGGAGGCTGAAGCTGGAGGACTGCTTGAGCCCATGAGTTTGAGGCTATAGTAAGCTATGACTGTACCACTGCACTCCAGCCTGGGTGGCAGAGCAAGACTCAATTTCTTCTTTAAAAAAAAAAAAAAAAAAAAAGGGCCAGGTGCAGTGGCTTACGCCTGTAATCCCAGCACTTTAGGAGGCCAAGGCGGGCAGACACAAGGTCAGGAGTTTGAGACCACCCTGGCCAATATGGGGAAACCCCATCTTATCAGAAATACAAAACTTAGCTGGGCATGGTGGCAGGCACCTGTAATCCCAGCTACTTGAGAGGCTGAGGCAGCAGAATCGCTTGAACCTGGCAGGCAGAGGTTGTAGTGAGCCGAGATCATGCCACTGCACTCCAGCCTGGGCAACAGAGCAAGACTCCATCTCAAAAAAAAAAAAAGAAAGAAAGTGTTAGGAGCTCAGCTCTTTCTGGAATCTTCTGGGATGAGCGACTGCAGAGGTTAACTTCACCACCACCCTGTGATATGTTCTCAGCAGCACATGAGCACTGGGAGCTGGCTTTTTCCCCTCTCACAATAGACCAAAAGTGCAGCCACAGCGGCCCCCAGGCTTCAGTGCTAAGACCACCCTTACATTTTGTTTTCAGTCTCCGACAGGGTCTTTCACCGCACCTAACAGAAATGCAGGGCGAAGAAGTTCCAGGCAATGCCATCAACAGTACATTGCCAAGAGCAGAAAGGCATTGGGAAGCTTCCCCCAGTTTTCAGAGAGATACAGCTGACAAATGGAACCGGAGGCACTGCAGTTCCCAGACGGGGGGCTTTAGAGGAGAGAGCTGCTCAGACTCACAACCAGGACCAGCCTTTCTACTGCCAGCTGGGTTGGAACAGATGGACTGGGTGCAGGCAACTGTCTATAACCTGGGAACATTTCAGTTAGTTTTGTTTGGAAACACTTGGGATAAAGCTACTTCATTCCCAGGGAATTAATTGTATTATTGTGCTGAATACATGTGACCATATGGGAAAGTTTACAAATCACCTTATAAATAAGCACTAAAACCCATCCATCCAATAATGGGTTACTGAGGCCCATATGCCATGCTCTTCCCAGCCTGTTGTGACTGTTAATTTGGCTATGCCAGGTTCTTATTTTTGTCTGGGTCCAGGAAAGCACTGGAGTGTGGGTCCCAAGCGGCTCATGGTATAAGGATCACTGGAGTTTGGTAAAAATAAAGGTTCCAGGCCAGGTACAGCGGCTCACACCTATAATCCCAGCACTTTGGGAGGTCAAGGTGAATGGATTGCTTGAGGTCAGGAGTTCAAGACCATCCTGGCCAACATGGTGAAACCCTGTCTCTAGTAAAATACAAAAATTAGCCAGCCATGGTGGTGCACGCCTGTAATCCCAGCTACTCAGGAGGCTGAGGCAGGAGAATCAATCACTTGAAGCCAGGAGGTGGAGGCTGCAGTGAGCCAAGATGGTGCCACTGCACTCTAACTGGGTGACAGAACGAGACTCTGTCTCAAAAAAAATAATGGTTCCGGTGTTTCACCCCAGAAAGATTGATTCAACGTGTGTCAGTGGAGCCCAGAAATGCGCATTTTTAATAGAGTTCAGGTAGTTCTGAGACACTAAGTGGAAATACAGCCCAGGACTGGTACTGGGCATTTCGTTTACTAGCGTGGGCAATAGTTTCTAAGAGCCTCAGTTTCCTCATCTGCAAAACAGGTATACTACAGTGGCTCTTTCCCTTTTTTCTTATAAATGTACGTTTGTTTTTTTCTGTGCCCCAAAGCTACCCTTAAACACTAAAAACATTCATACTAACAGCAATAATTTTCTCAGAAACATTCATAGTCTTGATCCATTCATAGTTGATGAAAGGAACACTTCTTTTTATATTTCTGAGACAGTCTCACTCTGTCGCCAGGCTGGAGTGCAGTGGTGCGATCTTAGCTCACTGCAACCTCCGCCTCCCAGGTTCAAGCAATTCTCCTGCCTCAGTCTCCTGAGTAGCTGGGACTACAGGCACACGCCACCATGTATTTTTAGTAGAGACAGGATTTCAACATGTTGGCCAGGGTGGTCTCGATCTCTTGACCTTGTGATCCACCCACCTCAGCCTCCCAAAGTGCTGGAATTACCGCGGTGAGTCACCTCACCGGGCTGAAAGGAACAACTTCTATAGGTAAGTTGGCAATCATCAAAAAGTAATTAGACTTTTAAAATAGTTGGGGGTGGGGGCTGGGTGCAGTGGCTCATGCCAGTAATCCTAGCACTTTGGGAGGCTGAGGTGAGAGGATCACTTGAGCTCAGGAGTTCAAGGCCAGCCTGGGCAAGAGAGCAAGACCTGGTCTCTACCAAAAAAAAAAAAAAAAGGCGTTGCGGGGTGGATGTGGATAGAAAAAAAAGTATAGGCATACATCATTTTTTGTGCTTTGCTTTATTGCAATTTACAGATATTGTGTTTTTCTACAAATTGAAAGTTTGTGGCAACCTGTGTTTTAAGTCTACGGGAATCATTTTTCCAATGGCATCTGCTCACTTTGTTCACATTTTGATAATTCTTGCTTTCAAATTTTTTCATTTTTAGTATGTTTGTTATAGTGATGTGTGACTGACGATCTTTGATGTTACTACTGTAATTGTGTTGGCTGAAACGTGGCCATGATGGTTCATGATAGTGTGTGTTCTGACTGCTTCACTGGACTGGCTGTTTCCCCTTCTCTCTTCCTCTCCTCTGGCCTCCCTATTCTCTGAGAAACAGTATTGGAATTAGGACAATTAGTAACTACAATGGCCTCTAAGTGTTCAAGTGAAGAGTCGCAGGTCTCTCACTTTAAATAAAAACCTAGAAATAATTAAACTTAGTGAGGAGGGCGTGTTGAAAACCAAGACAGGTCAAAAGCTAGGCCTCTTGTGCCAAACAGTTAGCCAAGCTGTGAATGCGAAAGAAAAGCTATTGAAAAAATTTAAAACTGCTACTCCCGTGGACACACAAATGACAAGAAAACAGCCTTATTAGGCCGGGCGCAGTGGCTCACGCCTGTAATCCCAGCACTTTGGGAGGCCGAGGCAGGACGGATCACAAGGTCAGGAGTTGGAGACCAACCTGGCCAACATGGTGAAACCCCGTGTCTACTAAAAATAAAAAAATTAGCAGGGCATGGTGGTACACGTCTATAATCCCAGCTACTCGGGAGGCTGAAGCAGGAAAGTTTATTGAACCTGGGAGGCAGAGGTTGCAGTGAGCGGAGATCACACCACTGCACTCCAGCCTGGGTGGAAGAGTGAGACTCTATCTCAAAAAATAAAATAAAATAAATAAAATAAAATAAAATAAAATAACAACAAAGGATTTATAAGATTACAGTAGTTAGGCCAGGTGCGGTGGCTCACACCTGTAATCCCAGCAATTTGGGAGGCTGAAGAGGACAGATCACGAGGTCAGGAATTCTAGACCAGCCTGGCCAATATGGTGAAACCCCATCTCTACTAAAATTACAAAAATTAGCCAGGGGTGATGGCATGCACCTATAGTCCCAGCTGCTCAGGAGGCTGAGGCAGGAGAATCACTTGAACTCGAGAGGCGGAGGTTGCAGTGAGCCGCGATCGCAGCACTGCAACCACCCCGGGCGACAGAGCAAGACTCCATCTCAAAAAAAAAAAAAAAAAAAAGATTACAGTAGTTGGTATCAAGTACTTGGTAAAGCAGTTGCAAGGTTTGAAAGGATTGACGCCCATTTTGAAAGAAGTCCTACTGTGGGTAAAATGTTACCATTTTCTCTGTAGCATGCAGTACTACAGAGAAATCTTCCACGAAAGTAAGAGTTCCATCAGTGCGACAAACCTCATTGTTTTACTTTAAGAAACTGCCACAGCCATCCTAACCTTTAGCAACCACCCTGATCAGTCAATAACCATCAACATCTAGGCACAATCCTCCACCAGCTCACTGGCATTTCTTGGCAATAAAGTATTTTTAAATTCAGGTATATATCTGTACGTGGTTTTTTTTTGGTTTTTTTTTGAGACAGAGTCTCGCTCTGTTGCCCAGGCTGGAGTGCAGTGGTGAGCCTCCCCATAACCTCCGCCTCCCTACAACCTCCACTTCCTGGGTTCAAGTGATTCTCCTGCCTCAGCCTCCCAAGTAGCTGAGACTGCAGGCGCACACCACCATGCCCGGCTAATTTTTGTGTTTTTAGTAGAGATGGGGTTTCACTATGCTAGCCAGACTGGTCTCGAACTCTTGACCTAGTCGTCTGCCCACTTCAGCCTCCCAAAGTGCTGGTATTCCAGTCATGAGCCACAGCGCCCGGACTTATCTATGGGTTTTTTTTAGACAAAATGCTATTGCATACTTAATAGGCTACAGTATTGTCTAAACATAGTTTTTGTATGCACTGGGAAACTACAAAATTTGTGTGACTCATTTTACTGCGATATTCCCCTTATTGCAGTGGTCTGCAACTGAAGCCACAATATCTTAGGTGTGCCTGTACAGGTGTGTAAAGGAGTTCAATGCTATTACCACCCAAGCGAATAAAACAAAATAGGTTCATGCTCACCATAACTTGTTATATGTGTAATGTTTCATTCTTTGGGGTTACTCATTCCTACAGTGACAGACAAAGCTAGAAAGAAAAAGGAGTAATTAGGCTCAATAAATCCAAAAAGTAGCATAAATGTTTCTAATCAGAGGTTTTCGTGTCCCTGGGGGAGAAAAATGGCCTTGTGAGCTTCCACTTGGAGGACAGTGGGAAGGAATGTGAGCTCTCTAGCTAGGCTGCCATGTGTAGCTAAAACTCAAAACTAAGCCATCAGCAGCAGCTTTGTTATTTTCATCATTACTGTGACTATTATACGGAATGTATTATTACTGGCCAGGGGCAGTGGCTCATGCCTGTAATCCCAAGACTTTGGGAGGCCAAGGTGGGTGGATGACTTGAGGTCAGGAGTTCGAGACTAGCCTGGCCAACATGGTGAAACCCTGCTCTACTAAAAATACAAAAATTAGCTGGGTGTGGAGGCTAAGGGATTATGGTCATCTAGTTCCATCACCAGGAACAACAGGTCACCATGCTTTTGAGGGAGCTCATTCTTTAACTTTTCTGACCTAATACACTTCGGCTCCTGGATCTCTATTCCAGGTGACTTCCAGCGGACTCACGCCCCCACCCACTTTGCTCCAGTCCTTGGGGAATCAATTCAGGGCTAGAGAGTTTTAGTAAACCATGCACATAACTCAATTGAAAGGTACAATATAGCCAGGCGTGGTGGCTCATGCCTGTAATCTGTGCACTTTGGGAGGCTGAGGCAGAACGATCACTTGAACCCAGGACTTTGAGACCAGCCTAGCCAACACAGTGAGACCTCATCTCTACAAAAATAAAATTGCAGCCATAAAAAAGGATGAGTTCATGTCCTCTGCAGGGACATGGAAGAAGCTGGAAACCATCATCCTCAGCAAACTAACACAGGAACAGAAAACCAAACACCACACATTCTCACTCATAAGTGGGAGTTGAACGACGAGAACACATGGACATAGGGAGGGGAACATCACACAGCAGGGCCTGTCAGAGGGTGGGGGAAAGGGCAGGGAGAGCATTAGGACAAATACCTAATGCATGCGGGGCTTAAAACCTAGACAGGTTGATGGGTGCAGCAAACCACCACGGCACATGTATACCTATGTAACAAACCTGCACGTTCTACGCAAGTTTCCCAGAACTTAAAGTAAAATTAAAAAATTAAATTAAAAAAATTAGTAAAATTTTAAAAAAAGTTATGTTTACCCTATACTGCCATCTATTAAGTGTGCGACAGCATTATCTAAAAAATGTACATACCTTAATTAAAAATACTTAATTGCAAAAATAAAAAATAAAAAGGTCTCACTCCATTGCCCAGGCTGGAGTGCAGTAGTGCAAACTTCACTCACTGCAGCCTTAACCTCCTGGGCTCAAGTGATCCTCCTGCCTCAGCCTTCTCAGTAGCTGAGACTACAGGCATGCACCATGCCCAGTTAATTTTTCAAAATTTTTTGTAGAGATGGGTGTCTCACCATGTTGCCCAGGCTGGTCTTGAACTCCTGGGAATGCACGTGTTCTCTCACATAATTGTTTCCATAACTCTCAAAGTGCTGGGATTACAGGCATGAACCATGGAGCCTGTCCTAAATTTGTCTTTTCTCTTGTTATAAATGTACCTACTAATAATTTTGATTTTGCCTCTAGGCTCACTAAACCTAAAATATTTACTATCTGGCCCATTATATAAAAAGTCTGTGGACCACTGGCTTAGTGAATTGTAAAAATATTGCTGGGCGCGGTGACTCAACACCTGTAATCCCAGCACTTTGGGAGGACGAGGCAGGTGGATCACGAGGTTAGGAGTTTGAGACCAGCCTGGCCAACATGATGAAACCCCGTCTCTACTAAAAATACAAAAATTAGCCAGCCATGGTGGTGCGAGCCTGTAATCCCAGCTACTCAGGAGGCTGAGGCAGAAGAATCGCTTGAACCCGGGAGGCGGAGCTTGCTGTGAGTCGCGATTGTGCCACTGCATTCCAGCCTGGGCAACAAAGTGAGATTCCATCTCAAAAAAAAGTAATAGCCACCATTTCTTGAGGAACTTGTCTTGTATGTGACAGTCCTAGGCTATGTATTTTGCACGTGTTCCCTCACATAATTGTTTCCATAACCCCTTGAGGTAGGTACTGTTACTCCTCCCATTTTCCTGAAGGAATTGAGTTTGGGAAACCCAGTGCAGGCCCTAAAGCCCGCTACTGACTAACGTCTCTACTCATCTCTAAGGCAGTCATGGCTTTAAACCTAAAAGTATGAATGAATAGGCCAGGCATGGTGGGTCATGCCTGTAACCCCAACACTTTTGGAGGCCGAGGCAGTCTGATCACCTGAGGTCAGCAGTTTGAGACCAGCCTGGCCACCATGGTGAGACATCCTGTCTCTACTCAAAATACAAAAATTAGCCAGGCGTGCTGGCGCGCTCCTGTAATCCCAGCTACTCGGGAGGCTGAGGCAGGAGAATCCCTTGAACCTGGGAGGTGGAGGTTGCGGTGAGCCAAGATCGTGCCATTGTACTCTAGCCTGGGCGACAGAGCAAGACTCCGTCTCAAAAAAAAAAAAAAAATACGTATGAATAAAACCCACAGATGACCCCACATCTTGATGCATTTCTTCTGTAACCATTTCACAAATGCCTATTACATGCTGGGCACTCTCTCCAGGACCTAGGACCAAAGAGACAGCTGTCTTTCACGAAGCTCATATTCCAGGTGGGTGAGACAGACAAGAAATGAGCAAACAAGGAAGTTTCAGATAATAATCAGTGTTACCTAGAAAATAAAACAGCATGACAGGAGGGGGTGTTTTTTGCCGCCTATTCTGGCCTCAGACTAACTGGTAAGACGAGTCTCAGCAACGTGCAGGTTAAAACCTAATGACCTGGCGTGTAATTAATCCCAGCGCTTTGGGGGCGGGGACGATGACTTGAGCCCAGGAATTCCAGACCAGCCTTGGAAACAGAGTGAGACCCTGTCTCTACAAAAATAAAATAAAATTATCCGGGCACGGGAGCGCACACCTGTGGTCCCAGCTACTCTGGTGGCTAAGGTGGGAGGATCCCTTGAGCCCAGGAGGCGGAGGCTGCCCACTGAACTCCAGCCTGAGCAACAGAGGGAGACTCCATTTCTAAAACAAAAAGAAAAAGAAGACAGAGAACAGGGCAAACTAAATGAATGCCCCCTTAAAATCAACCGTCACATAATAAAGAGCCTAGGAAACGTATTTTACTACTGAGGCAGGGAAGAAGGGAAGTGGGGAGGAAAAGGGGAGAGCAGAGGGAGAAAGGAAAGGCAGAGAGAAAGGCAAGCAGGTAATGACCTTAAGAAAGAAGGCTAGAGGGAAAGGGAAGAGGATGTGAATGGAGGAGGTGGGCCGCTTGCTGGGGAAACCGCATCCTGGAATTCGTTCCTAATCCCAGTTCGGAGGGAGGTGGAAGGGGCTTTCTTGCCACCTCCAGGTTGTCCCGAGGGGCTCGCCCTGCAAGGCCCGAGACCTGGGCGCCCCTCTCGGCGAGGGCGGGGAAGGCTGGGGCCCAGGGGCTGGGACCGGGACGGGAAAGGCCCGGTGCAGTGCTACCAGTTCGCTCTGGGTCCGCAGAGAACTCTGCAAGCTCAGCTGCGCGGCGACTCCGTGCGCGCTGCGAGGCGGGGCTGGAAACCAGCGCTGAGACCTCTCCGACTACCCCGGCGGCTGCCCCGAAGGCCCGGCTCCACCTTTGCCGTTCCGGGAAAAGCGGACGTCAGCCACAGACCCCAGCCCCGCAGGAGGGGCGGCGCGCGGGGAGGGGCACACAACACCAGGGAGGTTCGCGCGGGCGGCGCTGGGCCCGAGCCCGCCTCTCCCGAGCTCCGGGACATACCCGCCACGAACCCCAGGCCAGCCGGCGCGCGGAGCCGCAGCCCCGCCCTCCGTCTCCTTCTCGCCCCCTCCCCTGGTTTCCGCCCCAGCCGCACCGCCCCTTTACCGTCTGGGTCGCGCCCGGCGCCATTGCATCAGAGCCGGCGGCCGGCTGCGCACGTGGAGTCGGGCGTGCGGTCCGTGCCGCTCGGCGTCCATCGGGGATGCCCATGCCCGCCTGCGCCGCGGGCCGGGTCGGATCCTGGATCCCCGGTTCTCCGCCAGCGCGCCCGGCCGCCGTCCCCAAGCCCGCATTTCCCGACACACTGCCCGGCGCCCCTAACGAGTTGGCACCAAACACTCGCAGCCCCGCGCCCCGATCCCCACGGCGGCCCCGGGGGCTCTGCCCCTGGGTCGGGGCCGCAGCCGCTGGAGACTGAGCCAGGGGCCAGACCCGACACTCACCTGACGATCGAGTCCCGCGCCGCGGGCGTTCGGCCGCCGGGGCTGCGGCTGCTCCGGGCCTGGCCATCCAGCAGCCGCCGCTGTCCGAGCAGGTCCTCCCGGCCACCGCTGCCGCCGCCGCTGCTGGCGCGACAGGGCACACGGAGGCGGAGCGGCGGGCCCGGGGGATGGGGCGGGCGGCGGAGCTGGCGCAGGACGAGCGGCAGGCGCGTGCCCATGGCGCGAGGCTGCGGGTCCTCAGGGGACACGGAACTGCGGCTGCCGAGGGCGGCGAGGCGCGTGCCAGGCGAGCAGGCGGCGGCTGGAAGAACCTGGCGCTTCCTCCTCGTCCGCAGGGACCCCTAGGGGGCACTGCACCCGGCGGCCGTGACGTGCGGAGGGCGGGGGCCTGGGAGCTGCCGGACGGGATGTCACGGCTTGGGGCACTTTGGTTTGGTTGGCTGTACCAGACAGAGGGTGGGGTGCGGAATGGGGCTCAGACTCTGCCTTGAGACTTTGCCTCCCTCCCTTCAGCCTGAAAGGCCGAGGTGACCCTTGGTACTCAGGGCGGCAAGTTTAGACGGAAGGGCTTGGATTTACTGTACTGGAGGTAGCCTGAGGATAAGAGGCTTTGCAACCTTAGGTAGGGGCACTTAATCTCGGTGAGCTTGCGGGGCTTCGTTAGTGCTCTCTCTCGTCAGAGCACAGAGGTAACAATGCTCTTCTTAAAACCTTAACAGGATTTTATAGTCCTGATTGGTTCTAGGGCCCCTCCAGGGGAACCACGTCCACAGATGCTCAAGTCCTTGGTGAAAAAAAAAAAAAAAAAGTATTTGCATATCACCTATATTCCCTAGGTCCTCACGTAACATTGTGGAGGGGTTCTTGGAAATTGAAACTTTAAGCCAAATGACTGTAAGGAAACCAGTTTGACCACAAGCTAATTGATATGAGTGAAGTTCCTACAACATATCTGTGGTCACAAAATCGCCCCTAAACTTCTAAATAAAGACCGAAAGCCTTCTAATATTAAACATTGAAATAAGTGTGAGCCATGCATACATTTAAGAAAGGTTTTTGGCTCACACCTATAATCCCAGCACTTTGGGAGGCTGAGGTGGGCGGATCACTTGAGGCCAGGAGTTCAAGACCAGCTTGGCCAACATGGTGAAACCCCATCGCAACTAAAAATACAGAAAATTGGCTGGGTGTGGTGGCGCGTGCCTGTATTCCCAGCTACTTGGGAGGCTGAGGCAGGAGAATCGCTTGAACCCAGGAGACAGAGGTTGCAGTGAGCCAAGATCATGCTACTGTACTCTAGCCTGGGCGACAGAGCACAGCTCTGTCTCAAAGAAAAAAAAAAAAAAAAGTTTTCTTTTTAAAAAGCACTCCCTATCCCCCTGCTTAGAGAAAAATAAAGATTAATAAAAGTGAGATGATTTTTACCGGCTTATTCGAACTCAGGGCACCAGGCAGGGTAGGACACCATGCCTCACAGGGTGCGCTCACACACACCCACACTCACACTCGGACCATGTAGATGCAATTTCACCTGAAGTGCACTGCACGGCTTTGGGATGTGACAGGAGACCGGAAGACAGAGAGAAAAATCCACACAGACATGGACAAAACGTGACAGTGGACCCAAACAGAAATCTATTTTTTTCCTCATGATTATAAGAAAACCACTGAGCAAAATGATGAAATGATGTTATTCCAGGACCTGCTGTACTTATAATACCTAATACAATGTAAATGCTATGTAAATAGATGTTACACTGTACTTTCTTATTTCTATGATTATTTTTAATTTTTTCAAATATGGTCAGTCCCAGGTTGATTGAGGATACAGAGGGCTGACCATAATTTCCAAGTAAAGTGGATATCAGATTGTAATTTTGTAATTCCCAAGTGAGGGTCAGATTGTTAACTTTATATTTTTACAGTCTTATAACTTTACATTCCTATAATTCCCAAATAAGGTGGGAATAAAACTAGTCCAAGTTACAGAGATTGGTTTTCCATTAGCCAAGCACCATACTGGGACAGCGCTGGAAGGACGCCTCATACAATCCTAACAAATGTAGGGAATTGAGAGCTATTGTCTTGATGTTCAACTTCTGGAAACTGGGGTCCAGAGAGGCCCATCTGTTTACTGGCAGAGCTGGGAGATTGAGGCTGCAATGAGCTGTGAGTGTGTCACTGCATTCCAACCTGGGCAACAGAGTGAAACCCTGTCTCAAAAAGAAAAAAAAAAAGCTTCCTGAAGAAGGCAAAAGAGGTGGCACCTGGACGCAAGACCTTAGCAGTTGAGCTAAGGGAAGGTCAATGTTGGAGATGAGCTAAGGGAAAGCCAATGTTGGAAAAGTGGGAATGTTGGAAATGAAGGAACCACATGAGCAAAAGTCTGGAGCATGATGAATTTGAGGTACTGAGAGCTGTTCAGTTGAGTGGGGAGGGCGGTGCGTCCGGAATTGGTTCCTTCCGGTGGGTTCTTGGTGTTGCTGACTTCAACAATGAAATCAGTGACCCTCACGGTGAGTGTTATAGCTCTGAAAGATAGTGTGTCCAGAGTTTATTCCTTCAGATGTTCAGGTGTGTCCAGACTTTCTTCCTTCGGGTGGGTTCGTGGTTTCCCTGACTTAAGGAGTGAAGCTGCAGACCTTGGCAGTGAGTGTTACAGTTCTTAAAGATGGTGCGTCTGGAGTCTGTTCCTTCAGATGTTCAGATGTGTTGGAATTTCCTCCTTCTGGTGGGCTGGTGGTCTCGCTGTCTTCAGGAATGAAGCCACAGACCCTCACGGTGAGTGTTACAGCTCATAAAGGAGTGCGAACCCAAAGAGTGAGCAGCAGCAAGATTTATTGTGAAGAGCAAAAGAACAAAGCTTCCATGGTGTGAAAGGCAACCCAAGTAGATTGCTGCTGCTGGCCCAGGTGGCCAGCTTTTATTCCCTTATTTGGCCCCACCCATGTCCCACCAATGGTCCATTTTACAGAGCGCTGATTGGTCCATTTTACAGAGCGCTAATTGGTCCATTTTTACAGAGTGCTGATTGGTGCGTTTACAATCCTTTAGCTAGACAGAAAAGTTCTCCAAGTACCCACGCACCCAGAAGCCAAGCTGGCTTCACTTCTCACTGGCACTCACTGTGGGGGTTTTGTGGCACCTAAGCTGGGGCACTCCAGCAGCCCAGAGGGAACTCATCCCAGACAATCAAGAGGAAAAGAAGGGAAGCGAGAAAGAGATGGAGACCTGCTATTGTGGCCAACGATCCCACAAAGAGGGAAAGGCAGTCCACACATGGGATTCAGCCTCCGATCAAGCCCAGCACTCGCTGGCCAGGGCCAAGTGCTGGGCTTGCTGAGCCCACACTCACCTGGAATCCAGGCTGGCCCACAAGGGCCACACACAACCCCAGCTCCCGCCCGCACCTCTTTCTTCCCACTTCCCTGTGAGCAGAGGGAGCCGGCTCCGGCCTCACCTAGCCCTGGAGAGGGACCCTTATAGTGCTGCAGTGGGCCGAAGGGCTTCTGGAGCGCGGCCAGAGCAGATGCCGAAGCGGAGAAGGCATGGAGAGCGAGCGAGGGCTGCTAGCACCTTGTCACCTTTCAATCCCCACTCTAAACAGGACACCCCAACTGCTGTTGGGAATTGGGTGATGACCGCTCTAGCTAATTCCTGCTGGATTGGGGTGAAGAAGGGGCCCTGCAGTTGTAGCGTTCTCCAGAGGAGCTCTTTAGGCCAGTGGAAGGGCCAGCAGTTCGGTCCAGGGGTCCTCGGTAGAAGTTGTTAGTTGAGCTCATTTGGGGTTCCATTTGTAAGACCATCCGTAGCTTGATGGCCTCGATTCTAGAGGAAACAAATTTGACGAGGTTAAAAATACAGGGTCCCAGGTGTGTAACAGCAAGATGGCTGCCATGGGACCTAGAAAGGGGAGAAGCCATGCTGCCCAACTCCAGAGGTTGGTATAAGACTTTGAAAGGTGTTATCTGATTTCAGAAGCTTTTTCCTGTATTGCCGGGCAGCATCTTGTACTATCCCTGACTGGTTAGTGTAAAAACAACGCTCTTCCCCTAAGAAGGTGCAGAGTCCTCCTTTCTCAGCAGTGAGGATGTCTAGGTCTCAGCGGTTTTGGAGAGTCACTGCTGCCAAAAAGTCTATTTGGGATTGTAGAGTAAAGATAGATTTCGTTACTTCTTGCAAACTGTCTGAGAAATCCTTTGAGAGTGTGTGGTAGTAGGATAATGAAGTAGATAAACTGGCTATTCTGGTTCCTGTAGCAGTAGCCATCCCTAACCCTATAAGTAGAGGTATTAGTTGTATGGCTCTGCGCTGACAGACTTGAGCTTTGAGGGGTACTGATAGGGTCTGATTTCCACAAGATTAGAAGTTAGGATAATATATGTTTACACTGTTCACTTTTAGCGAACTTTACTTTTGTTGAAAACCTTGTAAGTTTGGGATTTCAATTATTCTTTGCTGTTAATAAGACCTTGTTCAGCCCATATTAACTTACAATTGGTATAGATGGCTCCTTCCTGATTCTGTAAGTACTTTAAGGTTTGGCTGAGTACAAACAACTGGCACATTTGAGTAGACCAATTACCAGGCAATTTTCCTAACTCTGCTTCTACAAGAGTTTCCTTATTTACTGAATACCCATTGTGTCTTTTTTCCTTAATTGACAGGGGAGGAACCATCTATCCTCCTGTCCTGAAGGGAGCTCCTCCTAGATCTGGTTGGACCTTTGTATGGGTAATTAATTAAGATTTAGATCCCCTGTTAGGAAACCTGCTGGGTTAAGGATTTTTGATTGGAAGGCTATGGGTTGTCAGTGGCCTCAGTGCTTTCAGGTTACGTCCTTGTTTACACTGACAAGGTGATATTGTTGTGTTATAGGGTTACAGAGAAGACCTTCAATTATCAATTATAGATTTTAAATGTACCCTGGCTCTTAAAGGAATAGGGCACACTGTTTTTTCTTTACTACTTCCATCTCCCTTTCTTTCTCTTTGACTTCTTTGCCTCTTTCTGACTACCTCTTTGTCTCTGTCTCTTCCTCTCTCTGTCTCTCTCTCTGACTTTCTCTTTCTCTTTCCTTTCTGCCGGTCTGTGCCTGCCTCTGCTAGCCACTTAGGCTGCTGTTCTCCCCTCTCTTTCCCCTTTTTGATGGCTTCAGCAGTGTAAGACTGCCACCTCCTTGGGTTTTTGCACCGCGTGCAATAACTCCATGATTTCCTTGTGGCATTTAATGGGTGTTCCCCCAGAGGTTAGGAACTCCCTTTCTTTCCATATTGCAGCATGGGCATGTAGGATTAGATAAGTATACTTCTATCTGTATACATATTTATTCTTTTTCCCTTTCCCAGTTCTAAGGCTTGGGTACTTGTCACTAGTTCTTCTAACTGGGTGCTGGTCCCTAGGGGAAGAGGCTTACTTTCAAGTACGGTTACATCACTAACTATGGCGTAACCTGCCCTTTGTATCCCATTCTCCACAAATGAAATTCCATCGGTATATA